GGGGTATATTGCTAGCAATGGGATTCTCAGTCTCCATTACTAACAATCCCTTTCCCCCCAAAAGTGTAGCAACGCGTTAAGAATACCCCAATCTCGCGATCCAGGTCACGCAGGCGAAGCCGCTGGAAACGGCTAGTATAACTAATATACAAAGTTCGTATTTGTATAATTGTCTAAAAATACACACATAATTTCGTTTTGTACAAATTAGACAAATTCCAACGATTAATTAACGGCGGTTTACGGCTAATGCGCGCCTCTCGTGATTCAGTCATGTTCCGAATAATTACCGACTGCTGATATAGTCCAAGAGACAGGCTACAATTTAAGAGCGATCACAACTCATATTGTTGTATAGATTTCTATTTCGTATTGCTGCTGCGAACTCACAACTTCCTGTGTCATCGTGTTAGGTTGACTGGAAGAGATATCGTTTAGAGATAAGTTCACCTTTGCTTACATTGTTTCAATATACATTACTTTTGCTTAGCTAAGTATGGCACGTCGCTATTATCTGTCAATTTTTTAAAATAATTTTTAAATTATATATATATTAATAAAAATATTTAATAATAAAACAAAAAATAAATTCGTATTAAAATTATAATAGACTGAGCGATTGATATATTTCATTATATTTACAATGAAAATATATATATATTCTTCATGGCACTTATAAATTCCATAGACAATACATTTATAAATATTGTGAGCAAAAGTGGACTTATCTCTGAAAGAGATCTCTTCCAATCCACCCAATAGAGTGAGAAAGCGTGCCGTTTATAGCGTGCAGCTAAAGTGCACGAGTGTTGTACGAATTAATACTAATCAATACATAAGTTACAAATAAAAAATTTTTTTACAACACAGGTGGCAAACGAACATGCGGCTCACCTGATGGAAAGTGACTACCGCTGGCCATGATTACTCACAACTAAAGGCATTGAAGGCGTGCTGCCGGCCTTTTAAAAAGGAATATGCTCTTTTCTTGAAGGTTATGATGTCGTATCGGTTCAGAAATACCGCTGCTGGAAGTTCAAATTAAATATTAGATAATATATATCTGTTATAATATTAAATAAATATAATATCTACGAATATGGCTATACGCTTGTTTTTCAATATTGTGCTATAAAAAAAAATCCTACCTATTCATATGTCTGTCTCCTGGACTACAGAATTATAATTCTTATTACAGCTCAAGTTAATTTGTTGATTCAGTTATAGCTAAGCGCTCCCTTATGCAAATAACAACTAAACAAATTACACAAACTAACGTACATACATATTTTGTTATTAGTTGCTGGATTGTTGTTGAACGCCCACATTTCTCTTACTGTAGCTGGGCGTAACGTTATACTGTATTTACTTATATATTGTAACATAATATTACAATTAAATTTAATACCTATTCATAAGAGATGAGCTCTCTTCGTTACAGTACTAACCGCACAGCTGACCGAAGTTGAATACAAGTAGGTATGCATTTTAAATTGACTATCTTCATAGCTTTGAAGAAACCCGATCGGCATTTGGATCCGCTATCCGTCTAATGAAGACGTGCGTCCTTTATTGCTGAATTTTTATAGTTACGCCTGTTCTGATATATAATCCATTTATACGTCGACCGTTAAGTTCCCTTAGCCACCTATCAAGTTACATTATGGTACTCTTTTCAATCAACTTCAAAAACAAGGTGATTTTCAAATCGGTTGTATTTTTTTTTTTATATTTGTTACCTCATAACTTCCCTAGATGGAAACCGATTTGGATTTTTTTTTAAACATAAAAGTTCTATCGAAATCGATTCTTTAGATATATAGATAGATACTCTTTATTGTTTCCTCCAAAAGATTACAATAGTAAACTTATTATAAATATAAACAATTACAAGAAATAATCACAATGAGAAAACAATGGGCGACCTTATCGCTAAGAGCGATCTCTTCCAGGCAACCTTTGAATGGAGAGGAGTAATTATAAACAGTTTGATCAGAGGCACAATGAAGATTTAGTTTAGTTTTTAAATTACAATAACTGGTTTTGTTACTATTACAGTAAGTTTTTCTTACAGTGTATAATCTTAATTATTAATGGATGATAATGGAATGGTAATATATATGTAGCATATACTGTTTCGCCCATGATACCCCCCATGCGTTGCCATTCCTGAGGACTCGGGTGTTATTCCCCTGTACCCAGTAAATAATTCACTGTCATATCCCACCCTACAAACCGAAATACAGCGGGGGAAAGGGATTACTAGTAATGGAGACTGAGAATCCCATTGCTAGCAATATACCCGACCAGGTCGACCTTCTCGCGGTTCTCCCTGGAAACTGTCATGATTAATTCCTGATGAATTCATCATGATGGGCTAACTGGCCTGTTTTCATCCTCATCGATCATCCTTCGCTGGTGCTCCGCCAGCGTATCCCGTTAGCGCAGGCGGGGTTACCATTTCATTTTCATCCTTCTCCATTTAAAAAAAATCCGAATCACAGCCATGCAAATACAACTTCTTTATGGTAGAAACACGAATGGGACAGAGGTGCCCAAGCAAACGTACTTTTGTACACAGTATTTACCGGAGGCAGACTTTTGTACAAAGTCTGCCTCCGGTAAATATATATATATAATATATATATATATATATATATATATATATATATATATATATATATATATATATATATATATATATATATATATATATATATATATATATATATATATATATAGACAAATAGCGGCAGATATGATTATAATGACTATTTAAATTAACCTAACTAACGCGTGAAAACCCGCCGAGCGGAATATAGCAAATTTTAAGACCAGCTAACCGTAAAATCTGATGAAAAATGTCAACTGTCACCTGTAGACATGAATAGTACGATGTTCGAGTATCACAAAATACACTGTGACGCCCATGACAAGAAAAAGTTAATGACGTAAAGGAACAACGACGAAAGTGTTTAATAATAAAAAAAAGTAATGAAAGGACACATTTATTAATCTCTCACAATTATAGAAGACATCTGTATAACTATGCAATAACTACATACACTCACATATATACACGACCATTATAAATAAATACATTATACTATTTACATCACAGTGTCGGTTAAGTAGAGCATAAATTAAGAATTAGTCATTAATACAGAAAATAATTTAAACTAATATTTTTTAGCAGAGGAAACATTTGTTTTTTGTTTTGTTTGTAATTTTTTATAAACAAAAAGTTTTTTTTTTTTATAAGAAAGCTACGTTATTATCGAGTTTCATGGGTTTTATTTTATTTAAAAAATTAACATATTCCACCTGTCTACCCGCGAGGAGCTGGGCCGCTTCCATAGTATATGTGATCTAACATAACAAGTAATATTGTTTCAAACAAGGTAATTTATTATTTCAATAAAAAAAGAATTTAGATATTATTACAAAAATTAATTAGCATATAAAATGTGAAAAATAGGTAAGGTAATAATTCCATGATAAACTGACTAAAATTTTGGTAATAATAACAAATTTGTAATTTATTTTTATTTTATACAAAATCGGCTTTATTTGTAATCTAAAAAAAGTTACTAAAATTTCAAAGTAATGTTAAATATTTGACTTAAAAAAACTATGTAAGACTGTTATATGAGATTTACTAATTATAGTATGCTTTAATTAAGAATTAAATCAATTGTAAAAGGAACACCATATATATAGATACTATCATCACTTCAATATATATTTAAAAAGTAGGTCTCAGTCAACCGTTCTACAATTTCTATAGTAGGTTATTAATAATTTACTTTTATTTACAATTACGTTTATTTACAAAAAAATAACTAATAATGTAAATAAATATTTAAAGTAAATAAGTACTGATAAAGATTATGAATTAATAAAAGTATATATTGTGGTGTTTAAACATGTGCTGCAAACATATTGTGAGTATCTCGACTTTTATCGTAACGAATTTTTACATTGTAAGTTACGTTTATATTATTGTAAGTTATGTAAACTACTATAAGTCGTCCTAACTTACAATTTTTGTAGTAAAAATTATTACGAGTTTTTAGTTCTTTTTGTTTTGTTTGTCTTGATCTGTGCTTTACATTTAACATACTTCTTGCAAACTACAAGTGCTTATATTTGTTTTATTGTTTATATTTTAATTTATATTTGACACAATTAAAAAAAAATTAGGTATATCTTTTTAAAGTAATAAAATAAAATAAACAAATATCTAAATTAAAAAAAAATTATTGACATTATTGCATATTATTGATGTTGTTTTATTTTTAAATTACTAAATTGTATAAAAATATATAAATAGTAAGTTTGTTTAGTAATCGTGCCAAATACTTTTTAAACAAACACAAACAGAAGTATTTCAAATGAAAGAGACATGATTTTATAATAACGTTAAAAAGTAGATTTCTAATAATGATAAGTAGGTATCTCATAATTTTATGAGATAAATACATTGTGACTATAAAAAACTACTAATATTTAATTCATAAGTACAGCATTTACAATGTAACAGTGCTTAGCGTAAGTGTAATCTATGTTTATACTTGGCATATTTTATCAATAATTATTTCATGCATTTTTATCAAATATGTTCATTTAAAAAGAGGCGCACAAGAAATAATATTAGACAATAATATTATGAAGGTATTAGACAGTGTATATAGCCATTTTTTTTTTATTTTTACGCTGTTTGATAAAAAAGGCTAGCAATATTGTTAATAAATATGCTAAGTATAAAATTTAGATTATGTATAAATCTTACAGTAGTAATATAGGAAAACTCATTATCACGCCTTAAAATAATGAAATATTTTACAATTTATATACTTATGTATTTATATATATATAACTATGTAAATGACACATTGTTAAATATTACAACTCACTAGCTATGTTTAAACGAAATCTGTCACAAAACACACAAATAGATTTACATATAAGTACGTAAATAGAAGTAAATTATATTGCTGTATTTGGAAATAAGTATAATAGTAATAGGTACATGGACATAATATTTTCTGTATAAATATTTTTAAATGTAGTTTGATCTGAAATAATGATATTGATCATCATTATTTAAAATTAAAACGAAATAATTTATTAGAAATTCTAAAAATATGTAGAATTTCTGCTAGAAAATTTTAATCTGTTTTTACATACTTGTCATAATTACTAAACAATTTTGACATATTATCGATTTTATTATTTTATTTTATCGATATAAGATATTTTTGTAATAAATAAATAGCAAATTTTTTTTTTATTTATATAATTGATGTTATTAGTTTTCTATTTAAACTATGTGTTGTCTATTTATTAATTCTGACCAAGAGAGCTGTCACAGCTGTCATCATTTTCAAATACATGTTTATTTTATCAGACGCCTTCAAGTGCCTATAGCAAAAGCGGTCTAATAACTCTGGACTCCAAATAGCAGTAGCATTTTTATTCCGTTTTTATTTTGAAATGGTTGAATTCAATAAGCAAAAAATGCAAAAAATTGTTCAGTATTGTTTTTTTTTTATATTGTATCAATCGTTAGCTATCTATTGCTGAACACAGCCTCCCTTATAATGGAGATTTAGCCAGTAGTTGTCACTCTTGGCAGGCGAGCTAACAACCGCAGTTTGGTGATATTTTAAGAAAGAAAAGAAAAGGTGGCCTATTCTATGCCGGCACCTACATGGTCATTTAGTAATTATGCTCAAATACGGAAAAACAAATTTTAAAATGGATGGATGCAAAGTCATTTATAACAATATAATTTTTGAAAAACAACTACCGTGAGTCATACTGTATTGTTATTATTTATATAGGCTTTAATAACGTTTTAAATTCAGAGATGCCCCACTAGTTTATATCGATCTGAGGATCAAACACGTCATCCGACGACGCGATAATGCGTCTACATGGTACTGTATAACCGATCAGCCCCACTACCAGCAATAACAAACAGCGCGCTGGTCATGCAATGCTGCTCACAACTGAATAAGGACTCCTATTGAGTTTAGAACTAGTCAGGCGTTCTCGAATTTAAAACGTGAGTAAAACTAACATAAATTTAATTACAATATAATTTTTGTTCTAAAATCTTTTCAGCTTTTTTTTTAATAAGTTAATATTTATATTTTCATTTGTCTTTTTTTTTTTACTTTGATTATAAACTAATCGACTAATATACTCAAACATTATGAATACAAATATATACATTATTATTGCTTTTACAAAAGTAACTAGTGCCACCAGTTACAAAACTTACAAAACTAATTTTCAAAACATCTGAGTATATTAAGTCGATAAATAATATTTTAATCAATACTTACGAACGACCTTAAGATACAATATTTCAATAAATACATAATCATCGTACTTATTTGAACTAAACCCTTTGTAAATTTGACCTAAGGTTTAGTTTGAAGTTAAAAATGTTTATGTAAAACATGTCCATTGAAATTTTAATGACAAATTAATTGTATACCTCATTTCTCCGTTACTTTGAATAATTTGTAATGCTAATATCTATTACTAAAGTCACTTGTTGCAGTTGATATTAAAAATATCTCATGTCAATTAAATTAACTGTAGTTTAAGTCTGATCAAGTTTACATTGTCTATTGTAATACTAGTAACTTGTATAAATTATGTTCACATAAACATCACTTCTCCATGATATTGTTGTATTTTTATTTTTCTTTTAAAAATGACTATTATATTCTTGTACATAAATATAAAATATTAAATAAATCTCAGGACGCAAGTATATTTTTCGGAATTATTTCTATACTTGGTTATGTAAGTTAGTAATCATTTAACAATTTTTTGTTTCGAATTTTGCCATTTAAAAATAAAACAGAAACAAGTGAAGTGAAGTTTTAAACAACCACACAATCTATCAACAAAAAGGCATTTTTAATTTAACTATTTATTTATTTTATATATTGTTTTTTACATAGAAAAATAGTCCAGATTATTTTATAGCTGTACCAAGTATAGAAAAAGAAATTCTTGGCTGTACGACTCAATGGTTTTGACTATTCCAAAAAAAAAAAGAAGTTGTTCCTAAATATATTGATTTCATTATGACACAATCTAATTATCTTTATGTATTAAACCATCTGTAGACCTTTGCTAAGACTTTCCACGTGTTCTTTCGCCTTCATCCTCAGTGCTGCGATGGAGGAGGAGCGAGGGTCGGGCGGTGCTGGTGGGGCTGGCGGCGCCGGTGCCGGTGGTGTGAGGTAGCTTGGGTACCCTGACGGTGGGTGGCTCAAGAAACCTGCAACGGAGATTGGTTTTAGCAATAATTCAAAATCCTGTCCAAGATTCTGGTGTAATATCTACTATAGGGCGAAAGGAATTGTTAGTAATGGAGTCTAATTGCCCCATTGCTAGGAATACACCCTGTCAGGTCGACCTCCACGCGGTTTCCCCAGGAAACTATCGTGGTTAATTCTAGTGGGATTCGTCACAATGGGCTAACTGACCTGCTTTCATACTCATCTATCATCACTCACTGGTGCCCCGCCAGTATATACCGATAGCGTAGGCAGGGTTACCATTTCATTATCATCCATTAAAAAAAGTTTATTACAGAGGGGGGAAAGAGATTGTTATTAATGAGGTATACAGCTACAGCTGGTACCCAGCCTGGCTGGTACAGGAAGTCCTTGGTTGCTGGCATACCATCATGATCATCATCATATCAGCTCTTAATCGTCCACTGCTGAACATAAGCCTTCCCCTAGGTGGGGGTTGCCAATAATTGCCACGCTTGGCCGGCGGTTTGACAACTGCAGTCAGGCTTTAGAGATGTTTTTAGAGAAACGCTGCTGCTCATCCCTCGCCCTCCCCTAGTCACCTCTTACGACACCCAAGGGAAAGGAATGGGAGGCCTATTCTATGCCGGGACCACTCGGCATTCATTTTAGTAATTTACAATAATTAGGCTGGAAATACATATAAATGATTACTATTCTATTTAAAAAATTAAATAAAAATTAAATTTATAATTTACCAGGTAAAGCAGTCAGCAAAGGTGGTGCCAGCCAAGGATCCACTGGTAATCCGAGACCGCTCAGTCTGGGTATTCCACCACCTGCTCCACACCCGTACTCCGAGAGCCCCAGCCTAGCTGCCTCCATCTTCTCCTGGCGACGCCATTTAGCTCTTCGATTTTGGAACCAAACCTGAAAGAAAAGAAACTAGTTTTTATATTTACGGTCAAAGCAGAGATATTTTTAATCCAAGTATTCTCTGTGTGATGACGTATTAAAATTTTGTGTTATTCCTCTTTATCTTAGACATCATCATCATTGGATCATGGGCATATGCATTATAAAATAGCAATAGAAACGATAGAATGACATCATGGAACAAGCAAACAAATAAAAAATGCATCTACTTAGTGACATATCTATGTAATTTGAACGGGTAATGAAAAAAAAATAAAAAAAACTGTAAACATAATTGTATTGTATTGTATCAACCGTTAACAGTCCACTGCTGAACATAGCCTCCCCCATAAAGTGGGGTTTGCCAGTAGTTGCCATGCTCGGCAGTCAGGTGTACCAGAGGGAGACTTTGTACAAAAGTCGATTGCTTAGGTACCTCTGTCCCATTCGTGTTTCAACCGTGAAGCAGTTGTGTTTAGATGGCTGTGTTTCGGTTTGAAGGGTGGGATATGGCGTGAATTTACTGGGTACAGAGGAATAACACCTGAGTCCTCAGGAATGGCAGCGCTATAGGCGAAACAGTATACTTTATTATGTCCATGGTACTGCTCATGTCTATAGGCGACGGTTACCACTTTCCATCAGGTGGGCCGTCTCTCACGAAACTCTTTTCGTTGTTTAAATACATATAGGGATATCGTTTCAGCCATCGTCCACTGTTGGACATGAGCCACCCCCATAGACTGTCATAAAGAACGGTCCTGAGCCACCTGCATCCGCTGATTCAAATATACATATATGTAGTTACAAAAACAAAAAATATTTTTATATTATAATTTGAGCAGAGTTAAATAAATAAATAAATAAATATTTCCGAACTTCATTAATTAATGTGACACTATTTATTAGTGTATCAAACTTTACTGCCTTCAGTCACAATAAAACCCCTAAAAGGTTTACATTGAGACAATAAATCAGTGCACACGTCATTTCTAAACAGTTTGTGAGGCCAGACATAACAAAACTTCGAATACTAAGTATCACGAACCGAATCATATAAGCAGTACCATCATAGTACCATCCACGCTGGCACGTCCCAATAAACAATCGACAACCGTTTCTATTGTCAACAAAATATAGTTTATTTTCAAACGATGATGTACTAGATACATGATACGAATGTGGTGTTAAAATGTAGTGTGAAATGATATATTCATGGGGGTCGGTGGAACGGTAAAAATACGTGGTGATCGCGTGATCGTTCCGATTTCACTTCGGAGGCAGCGAGTTAGGGACATGCGATATTTGATGGCTCACCTGTCAAAAGTATTAAATGTGTTTAACGATGGAAATGTGGGGGGCAGGGAGGGGGGGGGGGTCCCAAGAAAGAGATATGACGAATTTCTCGGGTATGGAATGAATGTTAGTTGAACAGCAATAAAGATTGTCACGTCACAGTTCTAAACAATGGTTATAGTTTGTGACAAATTCACCAATCGGAATATTTAATCTAAAGTAATTTTCATAATTTTTTTACTATATTTTTCACAAATAAGAGATATTTTATGACGAATTTGTCAAATATAGGATGGGATGAGAAATTGTAGTTGAACAGCGATAGAGATTGTCACGTCACAGTTCTAAACAATGGTTATAGTTTGTGACAAAGTCACTGATCAGACTATTAAATCTAAAGTAAATTTCCCAAATATTTAAAATACACTATTGGAACTTTTTTTTTTTTTTTTTTTTTTTTTATACAACTTAAAATGGCAAACAAGCTGACGGCCCACCTGATGGAAAGTGGTAGCCGTCGCCTATAGACATGAGCAGTACCATGGACATAACAGAGTATACTGTTTCGCCCATGATACCCCCCATGCGATGCCATTCCTGAGGACTCAGGTGTTATTCCTCTGTACCCAGTAAATTCACGCCATATCCCACCCTTCAAACCGAAACACAGCCATGCAAACACAACTGCTTCACGGTTGAAATACGAATGGGACAGAGGTACCCACGCAATCGACTTTCGTACAAAGTCTCCCTCTGGTGATGGGAACTTAACGCGATGAGAAAATTTTTGCACGTAAAATTACCTATATACCTGCTTCTTTATTGCCAACGTTTCGACGTGTATTACACCAAGTCGTGTATATTTAAAATATGTGTAAATAACGCAAAATTTTAACTAATTTTGCCAAGTTTTCCCACTAACTCTTATTCCTTTTCTTTTATTTTTGTGACATTTTTGTCTACACTATGTTTTCTATACTAATGTAATCTACATTATATTACATTACCAGAGGGAGACTTTGTACAAAAGTCGATTGCTTTGGTACCTCTGTCCCATTCGTGTTTCTACCGTGAAGCAGTTGTTTGCATGGCTGTGTTTCGGTTTGAAGGGTGGGATATGGCAGTTAATTTACAGGGTACAGAGGCATAACACCTGAGTCCTCAGGAAAGCAACGCATGGGGGTATGATGGGCGAAACAGTCTCTGTTATGTTATGCTCTGATATGTCCATGATACTGCTCGTGTCTATAGGCGACGGTTACCCCTTTCTATAAGTTGGATCGTCAGCTTGTTTGCCATTCTAAGTTGCATTCAAAAAACAATACCACAGATAATATAATTCTATACTAGTATCTACATTAATATACAAAAAAGAAAGATTTGATTGTCTGTTTGTAATAGACAAACTTAAAAATACTTCAACCAATTTAAAAAAAAATCACCTTTAGAAAGTTACCTTATCAGTGAGTGACATAAGCTATATATTATTTTGGAAAACTCTCTCCTACCGGTGCGAAGCCAAGCCGGATCAAAGTTTTCCTTTTCTATTCCAGATTCAATTTTTCCAAAAGGGACCACGTGGAGGTCGACATAACAAAGTATACACGTCGGAAATTATATTCATATCCTGCTTAAATTAACTATTTAATCATTAGGCGTCATATCACGTGATCCCTGATGGGGTAAGCAGAAACCACAAAACACCGAATACTTTGGCACAGTTACTCAAAAGGGCAAAACTTCCTTTCACAATAAATTAAACAACAGTTTAATAAAACTACGTAATGAGCAAAGTTAAACTGAGCAATAAGCAATAAATTAATTTAGCCATAACAGCAGTTGTTTACCAGTTATGTCGCGTGATTATTGTCACTTAATAAAAAAAAGAAAGTTGCAAGCGCTGTCTGTCTGTTCAGACCAATATCGAATACGTTAAGGCAACGTTCTTTCTGTCTTGATTTGTAGTTTGAGACTTTCAGTATCGGAAATAAATGTAAACTCTTTACTGCTTTTTTCAAAATATTTTAATAATAAACTTATTTTAAACATAAATAATTATAAAAAAATAACACACTGAGAAAATTATTTGAAAATATTTTGTAGTTTGACTAAAAAATTAAACGTACGCTCAGGTTATGAGATGAGCTCCCATGTCGAGATTTTTCCATACAGCATGGGGTTCTTCTGAAGAGAGGTAAAGAGGTTTTTTCAGGGTCGGCAATGCGCGCGTAATATCCTTGGTATTGCAGTTTATAGACTACGGCAATCGCTTACCATCAGGTGGGCCGTATGCTTGTTTGCCACCTCAGTTGTAAAAAAAAAGAATGTATAATAATAATATATGTACGTATGTAAAGAGGTAAGTATATATACCTATGTAAATAATTTAATCACGACTATAATCTCTGATTGGGTAATCAGATTTATCGAATTCATTAAGATGGGTCAACTGACCTGAGTTTATTTTTACCTATCATCCGACATTGGAACCCTGCCAACGTTTCTTCTAATGGGTGAAGATGGAATTGTAACCACGCCTGCGCTATCGGTATACGCTGGCGGGGCACCAGTGAGGGATGATAGGTGAGAGTGAAGCAGGTCAGTTAGCCCATTGTGACGAATTCCACAAGAATTGAGCACGATAGTTTCCAGGGGGAACCAAGTGGAGGTCGATCTGATAGGGTTAGCAATACGACTGTTAGACCCCATTACTAGCAATCCCTTTCCCCATATAATATTTGGTTAAGCCATTAAGGCTCCAAGAGCTTACAAACATACTCACTTTCTCGTTTATAAATAGTAAAAATCGTATTATATTTTGTGTACAATAAATTCAAAAAACAAAAAAAAAAACTATTTGAATAAAACAAAATGAAACCAATAGGGTTGTTAAAGGTTAAATAATGACGGTGGCAACCCTAGCAATAAGACATGAAGTATGGTGTCGGGCGGTGCCATGAAGTTGCTCGGTTCGCGCCATTTTAACAAGAATGTCATACCAAAATATTAGGTTTCACTGTATTTTAACATAAATCTACTTATGAAGTTTCGAGAATTAATTAAGTGTACCCATTAGTGGGAGACTTTGTACAAAAGACTTTAATTTGGGTACAATTCTGTTCAATTTGTTTATGGTTTTTTTTTATACAACTTAAAATGGCAAAAAAGCTAACGGCCCGCGCTATCGGTATGCACTTACGGGGCACCAGTGAAGGATGATAGGTGAAGATGAAGCAGATCAGTTAGCCCATCGTGACGAATTCAAAAAAAATGGTTCACGATGGTTTCCAGGGGTAACTTCGTGGAGGTCGACTCAATAGGGCATATTGCTAGCAATAAGGTTGTCAAACTCCATTGCTAACAATCCCTTTTCCTACATAGAGTGTCTGGTAAAAACTGGAAAACTGGAATGAAGATAGTGCTTCGTTCGCTAAGCACGATCAGAGGGCCTACCATGTAATGTTTTTAGAAATTTCGGAGCCAAACGAAACAGAAATTTGATGTTAAAATTACATAATACATGCCGTTTGGAAATATTAAAAATGTTAAAATATTGTTTCTTTGAACTTTTATGATAGAATGTATGACGAACAAAATGTTAAACTCCATGTACTCGTATTGGTCCGATTTTGGTATATACAAAAACATGAAATTGAGTCCGGAATTTCGGAATTTCATTTCATGGTAGACCCTTTATTTCTTCACCATGGGAGAAGTCT